ACGATTCTATAAAACTTGCTATAGCAAATATTACTCTTAACCAGAAATCTGATATATGAATATGTAATTTATATGAATTTATGATTTCACATAAAATTGCATATAAATGTTCAATTTCCTTTAAATTTTTCACACACCAATATTTTTATCAGCATTAGATGAAGTGGAATATTTTGGTCCGCTGTATCTGGTACCTTACGCATATTTGCAAATTTTCCAAAAATATACAGACATCTAATATAAAGTATAGGAATAAGACGATATAGTCCAAATATGACTTAATATAGACTTAGATCAGATACGAATTGGACAATATTGGCCAACTGCTTCGGAACCTCCCCCATAATGGGTCAACCCGTGTGAATGATCATAACTCAAGTCTGGAGGTTTACATCTGTCGACAAAACCGACTGGTGCTTTTTAACTTGTTTACACATTTTTTATACCCTCCACCATACTATGGAGGGTATATTAACTTTGTCATTCCGTTTGTAACTCCTCGAAATACTCATGTCAGACCCAACAAAGTATATATATTCTTGATCAGCGTAAAATTCTAAGTCGATTTAGCCATGTCCGTCTGTCTGTCTGTCCGTCTGTCTGTTGTAATCACGCTATATTTCGAAAGAATTGGGATAGAAGGCTAAAATTTTGCACACGTGTTTATTTTTCAAGTAGGCAAGTTAAGTTCGTAAATGGGCCATGTAGGTCCACGTTTTCATATAGCCCCCATATAACGGTACCTCCCGATATTCGGTATTTTGATGATATTAGCGACATTATTCATCGGAATAGTTTCAAATTTGGTATTTGAGATTCGCAATGAATGCTACAGCCTATGACAGAAAATTGTCTGTGCAGGTCCACATCTTCGTATAGCCCCCATATAACGGTACCTCCCAAAATTCGGTATTCTGATGATTTTAGCGCCATTATTCACCGGAATTGTTTCAAATTACGTATTTAGAGTTCGTAATTGGAACTACAGTCTGTGACAGAAAAATGTCTATGCAGGTCCAGGTCTTCGCACAGCTCCGATATAATGGTACCGCCCTATATACGATATTTTGATGATTTAAGCTACATTATTCACCGTTTATTTCAATTTTCGAATTTGAATATGGTAATGGCTAATGGCAAACAATGCCTATGTAGGTCCACGTCGTTTAGACCCCAATATAACGGCAATATTCGGTATTTTTAAAATTCAATAGAATCTTTTAAGGATTTTATTTTTTTTTTTTAATTTCCAAATTCGTTCCAAATGGTGGAGGGTATTCAAAGTTCGGCCCGGCCGAACTTACTGCTTTTTAACTTGTTTTTGATTAATTTTCTTTCTTTGGTCTTTAGTATTGTAGCTTCCCGAATAAGGACTAATGAAAGCCCCATACTTGATATTCGTTATGATTATTAAAATGTTGACCCATTTTTGTGAGGGTACCGAGTGAGTAGGCCAATATTTTCTATTTCGTACCTGATGTCTTATATAAATATTACAACGTGGCAGATTTGGACTATATTGACTATGTCCTGATAATTACCAGATTTACGCATCACCAAATTAAACCCACTTACCGATGTATTTTTCAATTCTTTTTTTATCCAACAGTCCATTTGAATATAGGTTTTATAGCGATTAATCGGCTTCAGGGCACATGTGTGATTGTGTATATAGTTCGGATGTGTTTCACACACAATTTTCGTAGATTTAAGAATAGTTTCACCAAAGATTGTCTAAAATAAACAGAACCCAAGACAGAATGTTTTATTTCATCGATCAGAGTCAGACTTACTGTGGCTCAAATGCTCAACAGAAAAATAAAACGCAGTAGCATTGTTGCAACCGTGTAATTCTATTGATCAACGGAAACTCTACTGCATTCTAAAATAATTCAATAATATTGTCGAATTGTTTATCTTCCACAAATATGTGTAATCATTAAAATTGAATCAAGTCTTTTTTTGTTAATTGAAATGTCCGTTCAAGTGGAAAATATTTTTTTAATGTTAATAATTCATAAAAATTGTCAAAAAAATAGGCATTAGATCTGCGGGCTAGCCTAGACAGAGTTTTATTGTAAAAATGAGCCATAGCAGGAAACTCTTGAGTGAATTGTAAAAATGGTTCCCATGTATCCCCAAAGTTAGCAATTTTTTTGAAAATACTTATGTGTTGAATTTTGTGATATTATAACTATTGTATTATTTTTAATTTAGGAGCATATTTTTGTTTCGTTTCTCCGTTTGATTTCAACCGGCAAAGGTATCGTGCAAAATTTTTGCGCTCCTTATTTGTTCAAAACTCGTACCTTTTGTGACATGTTAAGCCACTTAAAATCAGGAAAACAAATAATAATCGGGCCGTAATTGAGGCATGAATAAACGGATGGACATATGAAGCGCGATCGACATAGCCCGTCGAAATATGATGATCCGTATATGAAACCGACATTTCGGGTCATTATGAACTTTTGAGCCAAATCAGATTTAAATAACAGGGTGAGATGAAAAATTGCAACCAACTTCAGACTGCTGTCATTTGTAAGCCACTCGAAAAATAAAGAAGCGAATTGATCGAAACCCGCGTCGCAGTGACCGAAAAATGGCTCGTGAGCTGGACATATCGCAATATTCCATTCGGCAAATATTGAAAAATGAGCTCGGGTAAAGCCATTGAAATTCTAAAAAGTGCAAGAACTTACACCGCAACACAAAGAAAATAAACTCAAAAGAGCTAAAGAGTTGTTTCGATTGGCCGAAAGTGGTAAACTCCCGAATTTGGTTTGGTTCTCCGATGAGAAAATATTCGTTGTCCAGCAGTTTGTAAATAAACAAAATGATCGTGTTTACTTGCCAAAGAAGTCAGCTGAAAATGTGCTCCATCAGTTGGCCACCAGAACTCAAGCGCCGCCCATGGTGATGGTGAAGGACGCCATAACAGCCGATGGTCGCTCTTCGCTCTTATTAATCGACCATGGCCGCAGAATAAATGTCGAATATGTATTAAAGCCTTGTGCACACAAAAATTTTGGCCGAAGACCTTGCGCATTCCAAAAGGAGTCAGCACCATCGCACTCAGCACGCGCCACTCAAAAATGGTTACAAAATGAGATTCCTCGCTCCCTTTCCAGCGCTTAATGGCCACCAAAATCTCCGGATACCAATCCGTTGGACTATTGTGTCTGCGGTATTTTGGAAAGCAAGGTTGGCACTAAAAAATACCAAAGTGTCGATCACCTCAAGCAAGCGCTTCGCCGGAACTGGCCAAAAATACCACAGAGCAACATTTGGGCAGCATGTGACGGTTTTATTGGCCTTTAAGGGCCATAATTCGAACAAATCTAAACTTATTGTAAAATTTGATGCTATTTCCGACATTTTTTTATTACAAAAATTTAAAAAACTTTGTTGCAGTTTTTTTATCGTATTTTTGTAAATAAAGTACAGGTCGCATTTATTGTCTGATTGAGTTGAAATGTTCCACAAATCATTTGTATGATCCAAAGACGAGCTCTATTTAAATTGGATATAAATATGGATATAGATCTCATATCAAATGAATTTTAGCACACAGTCCAGTTCAGTCCAGAAGTATGTCTGGCAATTTCGGTGGATATCGGTTCGGATTTAGATATATCTTACATATACAACATTGCTCGTTTAAATTTTTTAATAATATTTGTTCGGCACATTCGACTGGATTCAGTACAAGTACTTCAAATTTGGTAAAAGTTAGTTCAGATATAGTATCATCCGATTTTTTATACCGCAAATCGGTTAAAATGTAGCTCCCAAACGTAACGCTCATCCGATTTAAAAATATATATTTTTTCCATTCGATTTATGCTAAAGTTAAAGATATAAAAAACCACAGAATGGTTTATATAAGTCCAAATTGGATGGATTTTGGTACATTTAAATGTTTTTATTCTGGAAGCAAATAGGACATTTGTTGAAACTCGATACCCATATAGCTGTAACTCTGATATATATTTTATACCTTCCACCACAGTATGGAGGGTGTATTAAGTTTGTCATTCCGTTTGTAACACCTCGAAATATACATTTTAGACCCAACAAGGTATATATATTCTTGATCAGCATAAAATTCTATGTCGATTTAGCCATGTCAGTCCGTCTGTGTAAATCACTCTAGCTTCCTAACGAAATGAAGTAGGTTGATAAAATTTTACCCAAATGTATATTATGTCCGCAGGACTTTTAGTATTGGATAGGTCCACGTTTCGGTATAGCCCACATATAATGGAGGGATATACCGAAACGTACAACGGAATTGTTTCAAATTTGGTATTTAAAGTTCGGTATTTAAAGTATACTACAGCCTATGACAGGAAATTCGATATTTTGATAATTTTAGAGATATTATTCACTGGAATTGTTTTAAATTTGATATTTGAAGTTCGTAATGGATACTATAGCCTTTGACAGAAAATTGTCTATCGTCTGAAGTTCGTCACGTCTTCGTATAGCCCTCATATAACGGTACCTCCCGATATTCGGTATTTTGATGATTTTAGTGACATTATTCATCGGAATTGTTTCAAATTTGCTGTTTGAAGTTTGTAATGCATACTACAGCCTATGACAGTAAATTTTCTGTGCAGGCCCACGTCTTCGTATAGCCCTCATATAACTGTACCTCCCGATATTCGGTATTTTGATGATTTTAGGTACATTTTTCACCGATTTTTTTTTTTCAAATTTAGCGTTTGAATATTGTAATGGCTTATGGCAAAAATCCACGTCGTCGTATAGACAGCATTTTTAACGTTTTTTTGTTGAAAATTGTCAAATTCGTTCCAAATGGTATTTAAAGTTCGGCCCGGCCGAACTTGCAGCTTTTTTTAACGTTTATTATCTCCACTAAATATGCTGTGAACAATATGCTAAAGTCGGCCCGTCCGACATTTGACCTTTCTTTACTAGTTTTAAATATAAAAGATCATTTCAAAGTTAAACTCTTTTAATATTTTATATTCTTATCCTAAAGTGGACTTAGTCCTTTTTTCTATATATTCAGCAAAATATTCTACAAAGCCATAATTTTTCAATGGATAACCTTCGTAGAAGGTGAAAACAGCTTTATATGAATTCTGTGGTAGCGCCGGCAACAGTGAAGAGTCCCAATATGCGTTTCTAACGAAGATATGACCCTGTAATGAAAATATATATATATATATGTTTATGGTAATAGGTCAACCACTTCGTATATCCCCATATAACGGTACTACCCGATATTTGGTAGTTTTTGTTATCATTAGCTACTTACCGAAAAGGGGCAAGAATGATTTATGTTGGTGAATCTGCTGAAAATTGTTTTTATAATTTTTCCATAAGCACCCTGCGTACTCTTGGCAAAGAGCTGGCACACGTTAATAGTTGCATTAATTACGAATGGTTTATAGATATTCGCGCTGTTTCGAACATACAATGCCAGGTTTACCTGTAAAAAAGAGTAATAAAAATATTTGTATTATGCTGAACATACATTAATGATAATACCATAAACCAAAATGATAATAACATGAGACCAGAACTGGCCGCCTACATCGTGCGATTTAACACTTTTAGATTTTTTCTTTGGGCGTTCTTGAAGCCCTCGGTTTGAGAGAATAATTTTTATGTTTTATTTATAATTCTAGTTGCGACACAAATTATAACAACTTGGTACGACATGTTCTAAGATACCCAGAAGACATTGTTTAAAGCTGTCAAAGGGCCAAACTTTCACTCTCATCTTGATTTCATTGGACTCTGCTTTTTTATTCCTCCACCATAGTATGGAGGGTATATTAGGTTTCTTATTCCGTTTGTAACACTTCGAAATATAAATATACATACCACAAAATATATATTTTTGATCAGCATAAAATTCTATGCGGATGTAACGAAATCGCCGACAGATTTAAAGTTTTTGTGTGGTAATTTGGCAGCATATGTTCCCATCATGTAAGAAACATCTTTGCATAGAACTGTCAATATTGGTCCATCTTTTGGTTTGGTTTCCCATATAACTGTACCTCCACATATTCCGTATGTTGATGATTTGAGTCTCAGTTTTCACCAGATTTTCTTTAATTTTTAATGGATACTCTCTCCTATGACAGAAAATTTCCTGTACATGCCAACACCATTCTATTACTCCCATATTCGGTTTTTAATGATCTAAGTCAAATTTTTCAACAGAATTATCCCGAACTTGGTATTTGCAGTTCGTAATAGGCACTACCTTTTCTGGGAGACAATTGGTCGTAAAGGTCCACGATTTAGTTTAGGCCCCATGTAACTGTACCTCCAGATATCCAGTATTTTGATGTTTTTTTTTGTCGGAATTGTTTCAAATTCAACCTATGACTATGCAGGTCCACGTGTTTGTATACCCCACATATAACGGTACCTCCCTTTTTTCGGTATTTTGGTAATATAAGCGACATTATTCAAAGGAATTGTTTTAAATTGTGTATGCAGCTCCTCGTCTACGTATAGCTCCCATATAAGAGTTTTCATTTAAACGGTATATTTTGACGATTTTTATACCCTACACCACAAGTTGGTCAGGGTATTATGTGTTTGTGCATTTGTTTGTAACAGGCAGAAGGAAACGAGATAGACCCATAGTTCCTTTTCATGATCTGCATACAGTCACATTCTGAGTCGATTTATGCATGTCCGTCCGTCCGTCTGTCCATGTATTTTTGTAAACAAAGTACAGGTCGCATTTATTGCCCGATCCAAATGAAATTTTGTTTGGCCCAAGGACGAACCCCATTGAAATTGGAAATAATCGGTCAAAATTTAGATATAGCTCCCATATATATCTTTGTCCTATTTGCCTTTTATTGTGCACCAAACGTGTAATATCAGCCCGAATTGTATGGAATTTTGCATATACACCCAAATTAGGCCTGAAAATATGTATGCCAAATTTGATCGAAATCGGTTTAGATATAGCTATAGCTCCCATATATATTGTTCATTTTTTATTGTTGTCCACCGCCGCCGTAATATGCACTCTGCAACAATAATATTTGGGGAAATATATCAAATACAGCTCAGAAATACCTTTGCTAAATTTTATCGACATCGGTTCAGATTTGGATATAGCTCCCATATATAACTTCGTCCGATTTACCTTTTATTGTGCACCAAACGTCTAATATTTGTCCAAATAGGATGGAATTTGGCACTTACGACCGAATTGAGTCTAGAAGCTAGTATGTCAAATTTGGTGAAGATCGGTTCAGATATAGCTATAGCTTCCATATATATTATTCATCCGATTTGTTATATTTGTTACCCACAACCGATATTCAGGGAAATATATAAAATACAGCTCAGAAATATCTTTGCCAAATTTTATCGAGATCGGTTCAGATTTGGATATAGCTCCCATATATATCTTTATCCGATTTCAAATTAATTGTGCACCAAATGGGCAATACAAGTCCGAATTTAAAAGATACAAATGCTTCGGCATATTTAGTCCTTTGAACTTTAAATTATAATTATAATCAATCATATAGCGTGTATGATTGAATTCTCCCATAAAAATTTTTAATTTTTATGTGGAACTCTACTTAATTAGCAAAGTGGTGTAGGGTATCATAAAGTCGGCCCGCCCGATTTTAAGACTTTTTTTACTGGTTCTTTATTTTTTAATAATTTTCAAGTTCTTTTCAAATGTTTTTAGCAAATTCTTCGAAATTGGAACATTAGTAAAGTTAGATGTCCTTCAAAAAATCCGACCATGACCAAAGATAGGCCACAGATAGTAAAATTTTCCTCTTTCCTATTAACTTGTTCATCGATTTGGCTCCAATAATATATTCTAATCTATAACGAATTCAATACCAACAGATCTATTTGTGTACACAATTGACCTGAGATAATTTTGTGCCTACCTCAATTTTAATTGTAAAAACTGTAAACAATTGGGTCCAGTTTCAGAACCTGCAAGTTTTGTATTTTGTATACCCTCATCCATATGGCTAGAGAGGGTATATATTACTTGATACGGCCAAATCGGTCTCATCGAAATAACAGTTTTAGACCCTAGGTCTATTTGAACCAAATCCGTTTCAGGACATTTGGAGTCGATCTAGCGATGTCCGTCCGTCTGTCTGGTTTGCTGGTGCGCACGATAACTCTCAAAGGGAGTATCCGATTTGGTGCATATTTGGTATATCGTAATCAGAGATGGGCATAATGCACTGTATTTTTAGTGCACTAATAATTGCACTATCACTGTTCATTTAGTGATAAAAATTGCACTACCACTAAATTTTAGTGGTAGTGAAATTTCAATAGCACTACCACTACATTTAGTGTTAAATACCACAAAACCATTGCACTAAATTAGTGGTATTTCATAAAAAATAGCATTAAATTAGTACTAGGTCAGGTGCGAACATGGACAATATCGGTCCACTCCATCAAGTAACTCCCCCACAAAGGGTCAACATTTTGGATAATTGTAACTTTTATAAAATGTAATATAAGGGTCCGATTGTCTTCACATCTCAATATTATTATTACCACAAGGTTTGTTGTGAAGATGGAACATATCGGTCCACTCCTTAAGGTACCACCCCAACAAGGGTCAAAATTTTGAATATCTATGAAGGTCATAAAACACGAAATAAAAATGTATGTTATTAAATTCCAATAATACTGTTTTAATCGGTAATAACTCCTCTCCCTACCCGTCTTTATTCTTATGTTTTTAAATATAGATACACAATAATTAAAACAAATTTTATACTGTCATTGCTAAACATACAAAGAAGGCAATATTTGGCCAGGCATTTCACACATTATTAAAGCAAATAAACATATTAACAAATACTTACCGATGAGTTCCTTAATTGAGTCTTTATCCAACAGTCCATTAAAATGAAAGTTTTGTAACGATTAACCGGTTTCAGGGCACACGAATGATTGTGAATAAAGCTCGGATGTGTTTCGCACACAATTTTGGTAATCTTCAAATAACTTTCGCCACATGTGGTCTAAAACAGGGACAACTTTAATATGTATGGGAATATTTATTCGATTGTAACTTACTGTGACACAAAAACCAATAAATAGAAAAATACGCAAAACCATGACCATAATCATTCAATAGCATTAGACATCGAAAACTCGAAAGTATTTTAAAACTATTCAATGAGATCCAATCCAATTGCTACTGCAGTCAGTCAGACATGTGTTTTTCCCATAATTACCTGCCTCCATTAAAAATGAATTTTAATTGAAATTTTATCGCCATGCGGATGGAAAATAGTCATATAATTACACTGTGCAAACTAAAAAAAATACGCGGAAAATCCAAAAGTTTATGAAAGTATAGCTAAAAAAGAAGACACGTGTATTGGCGTTTTGAAAGTTTACATCAAAAAGTAGCCAGAATAGAGGAGAAAGTTTCCCATCCTCCACACTTTTGGAAATTTTATGATTAATTAATTTTATGATTAAATTGATTCCTCGGAATTCGTGTATTTTATGTATATAGTGTCTTCGGTATTATTGCAGATAAAAATGCGAGATTTTTTTTGGTCGAAAATATTAATGTCATGCAAGTCAAAAACATTATGGTAATGGTATAATGTCTCTGTGTATAGACTCACTTTCTGAGTCTACTTATGCATGTCAGTCCGACTGTCCATGTATGTATTTTTGTGAACAAAACGCAGGTCGCATTTATTATCCGATTGAGATGAAATTTTTCAAACAATATTTGTTTGACTAACCCTATTGAAATTGGTGAGAATCTGTTCAAATTTATATATAGCTCCCATATATATCCTTAACCGATTTGGGGTTAATTGTGCAACAAATGGTCTATATTTTGTCACATCCGACCAAATTCAGTCTACAAACAAGTACGTAAAATTTGGTGAAAATCAGTTTAGATATAGTAATAGCTTTCAAATATATCTATTTTTTTTAATTTTATTGAATGAAAGCAAAAAATGTCGGAAATAGCATCAAATTTTAGAATAAGTTTCGATTTGTTCGAATTTTTCACCTTTGGCACGATTTATGGCCTTCAAACGGCCAATGAAACCGCCACACGCTGCCCGAATGTTGCTCTGCGATATTTTGGCCCATTCCCGGCGAAGCGCTTACTTGAAGTGATCGACACTTTGTTATTTTTTAGTGCCAACCTTGCTTTTCAAAATACTTCAGACACAATAGTCCAACTGATTGGTATCCGGAGATTTTGGTGGCCATTGTGCGTTGGAAATGGGGCGAGGAACGCAAGGGGCGAGCCCAAGACTTTAGTACACCCCCCAGAATATTTTCGCCATAATATTCAGCATTTATTCTGATGGCACGGTCGATAAATATGAGCGGAGAGCGACCATCGGCTGTTTAGCGGCCAACACCATCACCATGGCCGGCGCTTGAGTTCTGGTGGCCAACCGAAGGTGCACATTTTCAGCTGACCTCTTTGGCAAGTAAACACTATAATTTTGTTTGTTTACAAACAACTGAACAACGAGTGTTTTCTCATCGGAGAAAACCAAATTCGGCAGTTCACCACTTTCGGCCAAGCGAAGCAACTCTTTAGCTCTTTTGAGTCTATTTTCTTTCTGTTGTCCTTTCACTTTTTTGGAAAATCAATGGCTTTACCTCGAGCTCATATGTTCAGCTCACGAGCCATTTTTCAGCCACTGCTACACGGGTTTCGATTAAGTCGCTTCTTTACTTTTCGAACCATTTCTGCTGATGTTGCTGTTTTCTTCCGTCCACTTCCTTGACGTCGGGCTACGCTACCAGTATCACGATAACGAGCGATGGTACGAGACACAAAATATGTATTCACATTTAAATGCTGGAGTGCTCTAACGATAGCCAGCCAAATACAAAGAAATCCCACTATCACGCTTGAATTCCATCACGAACAAACAAATTCTCACCAAAATGCTTTTGTACGCTTGTAAACATTATAATGAGCTGCCACTGGAATAATTTCAACAGCTGTCGGACGAGTAGCTTAGTAATGACAGCAGTCTGAAGTTGGTTTGCAGTTTTTCATCTCACCCTGTATATGAATTCCTAGCGTTTAGGTAAGATTTAAGCTCTTGACGTCTTCCGGGACCAATAGTAGAATTTTATGACAAATAATATAGAGGAATATTTTGATTTCCTACGATGCCATTTTTAGTTTTTAATCATATTTAAAAAAGGAGCTAAAATACCCTCTTTTTGACCCTACTAAAATGCTCTTCTCCTCCGCTCCAAAATCCCCTTCCTCCTGTTTTTCTGCAATTTTGTTGAATACACTATCTACTTAAAATGCACGGATTACTAGGAATATTTATCCATCCGAAAATTTCCAAAAGTGTGGAGAGGGGAGAACTTACCCCCTCTATTTTGGCTACTTTTCGATGTCAACTTTCAAAATGCCAATACATGTGTCTTCTGTTTTTAGCTATACTTTCATAATCTGCTGGATTTCCCGTAACTATTGAAAAAATTGAATTTTGTCGCACAGTGTTATTTGAAAAAGTAAACAAAAACAATTATCTAGAAACGATGTTTCTTATTTGGTGGCATGGATTGTGATTTTAAACATTACATTGCGTGGAGGACGTAGTTAGATATTAATTGACAGATCATTGTCATCAAATTACACATGAGCGGCTAAAATTTAGAACTTAGCTTAGATATCCAAACCCCAATTTGTTCGTCAACATTGTTTTGTTTTGAATATTTTTGAAAATAAGTAGCACAGTTAAGCTAGGATATACCTCAGCCAATGTCTGTTTGTTTACATATACAGTGTGAGATAAAATCAGTAAAGAAAGTCTTAAAGTCGGGCGGGGCCGACTTTATGATACCCTACACCACTTTGCTAATTTAGTAGAGCTTCGCATGACAATTAAAAGTTTTTATGGGAGAATTCAATCATACACGCTATGATTATAATTGTAATTTAAAGTTCAAAGGACTAAATATGCCGAAGCATTTGTATCTTTTAAATTAGGACTTGTATTGCCCATTTGGTGCACAATTAATTTGAAATCGGATAAAGATATATATGGGAGCTATATCCAAATCTGAACCGATCTCGATAAAATTTGGCAAAGATATTTCTGAGCTGTATTTGATATATTTCCCTGAATATCGTTGTTACGGGGTGCATATTACGGCTGTGGGTAACAAATATAACAAATCGTATGAACAATATATATGAGAGCTATAGCTATATCTGAACCGATCTCCACCAAATTTGACATACTAGCTTCTAAACTCAATTCGGTCGTAAGTGCCAAATTCCATCCCATTTGGACAAATATTAGACGTTTGGTGCACAATAAAAAGTAAATCGGACGAAGTTATATATGGAAGCTATATCCAAAACTGAACCGATCTCGATAAAATTTAGCAAATGTATTTCTGAGCTGTATTTCATATATTTCCCCAAATATTGTTGTTACAGAGTGCATATTACGGCTGCGGAGGACAAAAATAACAAATCGGATGAACAATATATATGGGAGCTATAGCTATATCTGAACCGATTTCGATCAAATTTGGCATACTTATTTTCAGGCCTAATTTGGTTGTATGTGCAAAATTCCATAATATTTGGGCTGATTTTACACGTTTGGTGCACAATAAAAGGCAAATCGGACGAAGATGTATATGGGAGCTATATCTAAATTTTGACCGATTATCTCCAATTTCAATATGGTTTGTCCTTGGGCCAAACAAATGATTTGTGCAAAATTTCATCTGGATAGGGTAATAAATGCGAAGTGTACTTTGTTCACAAAAATACATGGACAGACGGACGGACGGACATGCATAAATCGACTCAGAATGTGATTCTATGCAGATCATCAAAAGGAACTATGGATCTATCTCGTTTCCTTTTGCCTGTTACAAACAAATGCACAAAGACATAATACCCTGACCACCTTGTGGTGTAGGGTAAAAAGACTGCAACAAAGTCAAACGCCATAATTTTTCCTTTTTTTTAATTTTATTGAATGAAAGCAAAAAAGTCGGAAATAGCATCACTTTTTAGAATAAGTTTAGATTTGTTCGAATCGGTCACCTTTCGCACGAATTATGGCCTTCTAGCCTGTCTGACAATATCTACCATCTTTTCAACAGATCTTGTGTTGATGACGAGTTTGAAAGGAATAGGATGTTTATTTCAGTTACCTCTTCAAACTTTTGATCCGTTTTGCGGGCGTACCAGAAAGAAAGGACCGATATCTAAAAAAAGAGAGAACCGATAAATTCCACATTCCTGACAGATCTCTGTTTGAGAGAAATATTTTGATACAACAATTTTGGGGGAGGTACCAGACCGATATGTCCCATACCACCTGTTGTGGTGATAGAAATATTGGGTGTGTGAAATTTAATGACAATCGGATGCTTATTTCACATTTTATGAGACGTATAATTATTCTAAAAAAATTTCCCCTTTGTGGGGAAGGTGCCAGAAGAAGTGGTCCTATATACTCCATCTTCACATCAGGTCTTGTTTAAGTAGAAATATTGGGATGTGTGAACTCTTAAGAGAGTTGGATGCTACTTTCGCATTTTATGTTCGCTATGGTTATTTTAACCACCTTCACACCAGATCTTGCGTCGAAGAAAATATTGGGATGTGTGAAATTCGAAGACAATTGGACTCTTATTTCTCATTTGATAAGAGTAATTATTATTCAAAATGTTGACCCTCTGTGGAGATGGGACTTAATGGAGTGGGCCGATATTGTCCATTGTCGCAGCTAATCTACCACTGACAAGAATATAGGGATTTTCAAAGTTTGCACAAAATCAAATGATCCTTCGTCTGAGGCAACTTTTTCTTTGAAAATATTGACCCTTTGTGAGGGAGGTACCAGAAGGAGTGGACCGATGTTGATCATCTCCGAACTCGATCTAAGTTTGATAAAAATATTACAATGTACCAAATTGGGATCAAATCGGGGACACCCTTCGAGAGTTATCAGACGGACTCCAAATGCTCTGAAACGGATTTGATTCAAAGAGACCTAGGGCCTATCGCCGTTATTTAGATTAAGCACGTTTTGACCGTATCAAATGATATATACCCTCTGTAGCCATATGACTGAGGGTACAATTAAACAAGTAAGCAAAGGCTACATTCGAGCGGGGCCGACCGTTGAATACCCTACAACACTATAATAAACGATACAGTTTATATAGGCGAGATACTCGGAAGAATTCCACAAGATATTGTGACAAATAATAAAAGAAATAATAATAGCAACTCAAACTTTTTTTTCTCATTTCCAATTTATTGGTAGATGTTGCACGTAAATGGTCTTCCTTGATCTGGAACCAATATTTCCCAAAGACCTATAACCTCTCAGAAGTGGCAAAAGATTAACATTTATTAATAGTTTTTGACTGAAACGCATCTATATGAGATATAGACATTTGACTATATTCTTCAACGAAATCAGCGTTAACGAAATAGTCGGAAGTGCGTCTTTCCTGTATTTGTGAATTCTCCAAAAAGTCACTGGAATTGACATTTTCGTATTTTGTCTATAAAAGTTGGCAAACTCCTTCACACATTGAATATTTTTGGATGGCCATCCAAAACTGCTTGGCTTTTGCAATGTCCGGTAACCCCCATTTAAATGTGCGTGATGATCGGGCGATAATTACGACCTGCTGACAATTTTGCATTTTTTTTTTTTGGTCCATTTCAACCCCTAAATATATTGCGATCATCTCCAAAAAAGAGTAGGCTTCTATTCTGACCCTCATCTTATCCCCATGCAAAATTTCGTAAGGATCCATAAATGCGATCTGTATATGATATCCTGATATCCTAACTACTTAGTTTTGTTAGCTGTAAAAATATTACCAAACATTAAATTCAAAATGAAAATATGCCAAAAATATGACAAAATTGAAAAAATATGAGAAAATTTTACAAAATCAATATTTTCATCTTAGAGAGATATTTTTATGCGATTTTTTTAGACGTTTTTTCTTTCCTGCCAAGAGGCCATTCTGAATTAATGAGAACTGTCGAAATCAGTTCAGCCGTTCTCGACATATAAGAGATCTTTCAAGCATATCTTCTTTGATAGACATATATATCGCACATATTTTGCTATATATCCGATTTTTTGGATAATAACATCAATGTAAAGGTCAGAAGTAACCTTGTGATGGCTTTGTGATTTCGCCGGGATTTAAAATATTCACGGTTTAATGAAAAATTTTGATTTTTTTCAACACAAAAGATATGGTCTATTTTACCCGCTAAATATTATCCGATGACCACCCAAATTGGTAGGCTTCTTCCCCGCCCTAAACTCTAGCTACAATGCGTCGATTGGTCTATAATTGTGACCTGTATAGCTACTGCAAAATCCGACATTTTTTCAGTATTTGGTTCATTTCAACCCCTAAACATTTGGCGATCATCTCCAAATGCAATAGGGTTCTATTCTGGTCCAAGCCCCACCTACATTCTAAATTTCGTGAAGATCGGGCCATAATTGCGACCTGTAGAGTGATTACAAATTAACATGGACAGACGGACAGGCGGACGGACGGACATACATAGCTAGATCGACTCAGCTCGGCGAGCTAGGAAGATCCATATATACTTTCCTATATGGGAAACCAATATTTCGAGGTGTTACATAATTTTTGGCCCAATCAAACTTATAATACCCCCAACACATAGTGTTGTAGGGTATAAAAAATATATGTCAAAACCGGTAAAACTACTGATTTGCTGACTTTTCAGAGGAAATTGCGTTAGGCACCTTCAAAAAGAAAAAACTTATATTTAATTTTAATTTAATTTATTGACTAAAATCTTACACATGTATGTACATAAGCTGACGCATACATATATTTTTTGACTTATCAAAAGACATTTAGGAAAAAATCGAAACAAGACTATGAGAGCGAGAATAATGGACATTTGTTAAATAAAGAAAAAGGAAATATTAAATGATCATTTGTTTTGTTTTACACACATATCGCTACATACTGTATGTATGTATAAATACACACAGACATGTACACATTTATATAATTATCTAACAAATAATAATAACATCAATCAGTCAATGAATGTACGTACGAACATGCATTTTTTTCGAATTTTCATAGTCTCAGCACAGAAACCACAACAGCAGCAAGTGCTACGAAAACATGCAGCTGCTGCATGGATTCTCCCGAATTCCTGACATTATTATAATTATCGATAATATTGATTTTCCAACCCATATTGGCATGGGTGAAACTATTATAGTAGACCACATCGGGCCACGTTATGTTCGGTGTGATTTCCAAATAGGCCGGCTCTTCGGGCGGACAATCGGTTATTAGGGAACGATTGAATTTCTTAAAACTAGGGAAGTTATCATCCAATCGCCGATCATAGCCAGGCGGATAACGTGAAATGCACAGGGGACCGGCAGCAGTGGGTTTAGGCCGACCACGCCTTGTAAATTCAACACCGGCCAAGACACGAATTTCACTCTGTTTGGCATCACTGAGACGATCATACCCGCCGCGTGGTTCGTCGGTTATTACCAGCGGATGGTAGTTGTCGGGTGAATGGGGATTGTTACCACCACGGACCTATTAAATGAAAATAGAGATTTTAAATATATTAATCTAAAAATTTGTTTAATAGTTACCTTGAAAACATATGTCAATCCACGTTTCATAAAAAGTTCCGGAATCATATAACCATTTATGTACCAAGCCAAGCCACTGGATACGTGTCCTGAAAAATAATGAAGACAATTTTTTAAGAAATAGAAATTGATTAAGGGTAAATTCTGAAATGTTATAGGAGTTAAGGTGCAAGTACATAACAAGCTTGAAGTCATATCTAGGCATATTAATGTCAAATTACGAAAACGACGGCAGGATTTTAGTGCGGCCCTGTAATCCCTTTATGAAATGTCACAAAATATGCCTAGCCATGACTTCAAGCTCTTTATGTACTTGCACCCTTATATGTCCTGAGTTCACTTCTAAGCCTAACATATTATTTGGCCTTGTACTTAAACATTATTTTCATATTAAGACCAGTCAAATATATAAATGTGAAATTAGGGACAACAGACTATTGCCAGGGTCCAGGAAAAAACCACTGGGGCTGGAAATTTCAAATGTAGGTGGGACATAAGGTGGGGTTTTTGGAAATTCGCAGCAAAAGGTACCAACAATTATCAAAAAAATGGGTGTGGACCCCATAAAACGGTAGCATGCACTTTATCTTTAATGATTCTACACCCTCAGCCATATGAATACAGAGGGTATATATCATACGGCCCAAACCTGCCTAATCGAAATAACGGGTTTAGACCCTAGGTCTCGTTGAAACAAACCCGTTTCAGAAGGGGGGGTCCGTTCGTCTGTTCGCCCGTCTGTCTGGCTGGCTGATGCGCAAGATAACTCTCGAAGGGAGTATCCGACCACCAAACTAAATCGGACCATCCAACTTGGTACATCGTAATATTATTATAAAGTTTATCGGTCCAGTTATTACGAACTCCAAATAGCAAGTTTGAGATAATTCTCTTAAAAATGCAGCTAAAATCATCAAAATACCGAATAAAGAGAGGTACAGTTATATGGGGGATTTACGAAGACGTGGATCTTCACTGCACCGCCAATTGTCTGTCATAGGAAGGTAGTACCCATTGCGAAGTCCAAATTAGAAATAGTTCCGGTGAAAATTGTAGCTAAAATCATCAAAACACCGAAATCAAAATTCCAAAATTGATACGATTTCCGTGAAAAATGTGACACAAGTCACAAAATGTCGAATATCGGGACGGTATAGTTAGATGAGCACTAAACCTACACTTGGATCCATATAGACAGTTCTTTGCAAAGGCGTTCTTTAGATATATAGCAAATTCTGTTGAAAAACATGATTAAAACAGACAAGACTCCTTAAATCTGGTGGTACAATAGAGGTTACATCAAAATGTGGACCTCAAAAGGTCAATATTTTCAGAGAAAATTTTTTGTTGCAGAGAAAGAATAATTCGATTTTGTTCCATCTTTGCAAATCTTAATATTTGCATCAGTGCTATGTCAGGGGCGAAAATGGATAATGTCGGTCCACTCCATTAGGTATCTCCCCGCAAAGGGTAAACATTTTGAATAATTATAACTCTTATAAAATATGATGTAAGAGTCCGATTGTCTTCAAATTACACACACAATGTTTTTTATTAATCCAAGGTCTGGTGTGATGATGGAATATGTCGGTCCACTCCTTCTGGTATCACCCCCACAAAGGGTCAAAATTTTGAAATCAAAAACAATTATAAAATCCGAAATAAGCATCCGGTTTTCTTCATATTTCACACATCCCATTATTTCTACTGCTGTGAAGATGGGATATGTCGGTCCACTCCTTCTGGTACCTCCCCACAAAGGATCAGAATTTGGAAAACGAGTAATCGTTAAACCAGAAAAAAAGGATCTGATTCTCTTCAAATTTCACACATCTTAATACTTCTACTAACAATAGATCTGCTGTAAATATGGGATATTTCGTTCCACCCCTTCTGGTACCTCCCCTACAAAGGAAATTTCAAACAATTTAACAAAAAAAAATTAAGTTAAAATTATTAAAATACCGAACACTTAAAAAAACCTTAGATTCGCTGGTACAGTTTGATGGGGGCTATACCAAAAGTTATCTGCAAGAATATTTCCTATGTCCTGGGAACAGAAGCTCCCAATTTACAGCAATTTCGGTTGGAATTTTTGACTATCTTAAATTTGCCGGTACATTTATATGAAGTCTATACCAAAACGTGGACCTCTATTTCAATACTAAAAGTCCTACAGACCTAAACATATCTGAGCAAAATTGTATTTACCTACTTCATGTCTTTCTGACGGACATCACTAAATCGAAATTAAATCTAATGCTGATCAAGAATATAACCCCTTTGAGGGGTCTGGAAGTTACGAACGAAATGTCAAAACTTAATAAACCCTCCGTATTAATTTAGTTCACTTTGCGTAGTAAACATTCCAAATTGCCCTGTACGTGTACGACAATTATTTAGGGAAAAAAGGAATTTGGTTACACAGTGTAAGTTACTCGGTGTAAGTTAAACCGGTAAATGCGAGCAGTACCACAACTTGGACCTACAGGACGAGATGAAAAAACTGCAACGAATTTCTAAGCATTTAAATGTGAATAAATCTTTTGTGTCTCGTACCATCGCTCGTTACCATGATACTGGTAGCGTAGCCCGACGTCAAGGAAGTGGACGGAAGAAAACAGCAACATCAGTAGAAATGGTTCGAAAAGTATAGAGCCGACTTGATCGAGACCCGCGTCACAGTGGCCGAGAAATGGCTCGTGAGCTGAACATATCGCAATATTGCATTCGGCACATTGGACAACATTCGTTGTCCAGCAGTGTGTAAACAAGCAAAATGATCGTGTTTACTTGCCACCTTCGGTTGGCCACCAGAACTCAAGCGCCGGCCATGGTGATGGTGTGGGCCGCCATAACAGCCGACGGTCGCTCTCCGCTCGTATTAATGGACCGTGGCATCAGAATAAATGACGAATATTATCGCAAAAATATTCTGGAGGACGTATTAAAGCCTTGGGCACGCAAACATTTTGGCCGCAAGACCTTGGACATTCCAACAGGACTTAGCACCATCGCACTCAGCGCGCGTAACCCACGAATGGTTACAAAATGAGGTTCCTCGCTTCATTTCCAGCGCACAATGGCCACAAAAACCTACGGACACCAATCCGTTGGACTATTGTTTCTGGAGTATTTTGGAAAGCAAGGTTGGCACTAAAAAATACCAAAGTGTCGATCACCTCAAGCAAGCGCTTCGCCGGGAATGGGCCAAAATATCGCAGAACAACATTGGGGCAGCGTATGACGGTTTCATTGGCCGTTTGAAGGCCATAATTCGTGTCGAAGGTGACCAATTCGAAAAAAATTAAACTTATTCTAAAATTTGATGATATTTCCGACATTTTTTGCTTTCATTCATTTTTTTATCTCACCCTGTATATGACCCATTTCCCATGTCAATAATTCGAAGTATTTAAAATACTTTTCCACAAAAATGTATGAACATATTTTAATCCGGTAGGAAGATAGGGCGATTTATACAAATGCACAGACTGACGGAGGGACATTGCTGAATCGACATAAACTTGTAGCAACAAGTCACTTTTCCTATTCCATTTAAAAATATATCATTCTGTCATCCAATGACTCAATCGTTCACTTGCCTAATACCAATAAGACGATGATTTGTAACATTTTGTCTTAAAATATTAGCTCATATCAACATTACTTACCCGTCCAACCCTGATAGGCTTTTTGGCCACCCGATGGACCCAAATAGGCATTGAATGTACGAACAGTTCTGAAAAAAATTAAAATTTCATAATTCACCAATATAAAAAATAACATTTCAGGCACATACGGATCTAAAATTTTAACCCTCTCCCATGTCTGAATGGGATTATCGACATGTTTGGTAAAACTGAAGCAGTCATTCACAGGTTCCGTTGTATTGAAATCGATTAGAACGTCACTCTTGGGATAGTAGGTGTGGAAGGCCGGTTCATAGTTGGTGTCTAATTGGCCAAGGGCCCAAATAATATAGTTGCTACGATCCAAACGTATTTCTTTGTCACCAGGATCAGCTAAGGGAACACAAACCACAAATTAATTCCACGTAATAGAATGCAATTCGAATTATACCAACTTACAAGATATCAGCGTTCTGCGGAAAGTCAAAGTATTTATGCCATCCTTGCGGCTGTAGGTATTCAATTGGAAACTATCCAAGCCACCGACAACATCATCACGACACACACCCTTATTTTGGCCCAACACCTGGACACAGGGTGCCAAAGAGGTTATGTTATAATCCACCGAATAGCCACGTATATCATCGATATAGGCCACAACCACATCACCACCTATCATCTGCGATGAAGTGTCCGAGCCAGATAAACCAAATGACATATAGTCATCCTTTTCCACTTGGCCAGATAATTGGAAAGTTATCTGCGGGCCAAATACCTCCCACGAAACCTGGAGATTTTTGTGCAACTGCCGGCAATTGGGTAGGGCAAATTCATAGGGGGTAATTTTCACCAACGAGGGTGGGACATTTAGATTATCTGCTATCAAAACGTGGCCATAGTTTTCATTATCCGCCAAATCATAGATGCTTATCCAATCAATATCAAAAATGGTTTTATCTCCAGGCAATTCTAAGGTGATGGTCTCCTTTTTATATTCTCGAATGGGATCCAAACTTGAAAAATAAAAATATCATTAGACTCAATTGGATTGGAGTTCCCACAATTCAACTTACTATCCCATTTCATCGGGTATTTTGCCGCCACGACTAGATGGCTGTGCCCCTACCCCAGTCCAAAAGAATGTCCTCTTCCCCTTACCATCATAGGTGAAATCGGGTATGCGAATTGTCTTTGAATCCAATATTTCAATAGCACCGCTGCTAACATTATGACTACGTTTCGAGAATGTCCCACCCAACTGGGGCTGTGGCGGTTCAAATTCATCGGGTATATAGACATCACCGAAATTATTCTGATTATTCAAATCGTAAACAGCCAACCATTTGACTTCGGTGATTTTCTTGCGATCCGGCAACTGTAGAGTAAAGTCCTTATTGTGATAACGGTCTAGGATATTTGTTCTGAAATTGAAAAGAATAATAGATAAAATTTCTTATCAGAAATTCAAAAAGGAATCACTTTTCTCCCACTTACTTGCCATATTCATCTGGTACAATGAAACCCTGGGGTCCTGGCCGATTGGAGGTACCCGCCCAGAAAAATGTATCAGCACCGTTACCATCATAATTAAATCCCACAAAAAGGAAGGTAAATTCATTCACAGCATAGACATCGCCAGATACCTGGGAAAAGATAATTTTTTTTTTTAAACTCTAAGTATCTTAAAAAAGTTAATTTTGAAATGCTTACCTGGTGATGGTAGGAATTTATTTTGCCTAAATATTTGCCTTGGTAGGGACCATCTTCATCATCTAAACTGCCAGCCGATTCTGCAAATAGAAGGGAAAAGTAAGAAATTAAATAATATTTTTTTGTTTGAAGCTTTAACACGAAATAAATTGAAACAAATACGAGTAAAAAGTATCAATCGGTTTTGCAGACAGATGTATACTCTTAGCCAATGTTCGATTATTTGAATATATTTTGATTTCTGTTAGGAATATTCAAATTGTTGACCCATGGGTAGGCTCCGACGGAATGGGGCAATATATTCATTTCGTATCGGACCAAAATAAATATGATATAAATATTGTGACGTTCCAGGTTTGGACTATATCGACTACTTCACTTAAAATGTGTGTGAGGTACCAGATTTAGTCGACCGAAGTATTCCATTTTCGTACTTCATCTAATACAGATAAAAAATATTGGTATGGGCAAAATTGCAAGAAAATCCAACATTTATATCTAATTTTATGCGAAATCAAAAATTCTATATTCATCTCAGATTTCTGGTTCATAGAAATGGTTAGATATAGCAAGTTGTAATGAATCGCCGACATGTTTCGCAAGTTATGACCGACAAAAGTATTGAAAATGTTAACCCTTTGTGGGTGAGGTTCCAGAAGGGCTCGAAGATATATATCATCTTTACAATAGATCTTGTGTTAGCAAAAATTTTGCTTTTGATGTTTTTTTGGATTTTATGATCGTTTTGGTTATTTAAAATTTTGACCCTTTGATAGGTGGTACCAGAAGGAATGGTCTGATCTCCACCATCTTTATAAAAGATCTTGTGGTCATGGAAATATTGAGATGTGCCAAGTCTGAATGGAATAAAATTGACCCTTTGTGGGGGAGGTACCAGAAGGAGTGGACCGATATACAGGGTGAGAAGAAAAAACTGCAACCAACTTCCACTCGTCCGACAACCGTTAAAAATAGTCCAGTGACAGCTCATTATATTGTTTACAAACTTACAAAAGCATTTTGGTGAGAATTTTCCAGGAAAAAAATTATTCGTGATGGAATTCAAGCGTGATAGTGTGATTTCATTATATTGGGCTGAAAAAACTACAAGTGGCTATCGTTAGAGTACTCCAGCATTAAAATGTGAATACATATTTTGTGTCTCGTACCATCACTCGTTATCGTGATACTGGTAGCATAGCCCAACGTCAAGGAAGTGGACGGAAGAAAACAGCAACATCAGCAGAAATGGTTCGAAAAGTAAAGAAGCGACTTGATCGAAACCCGCGTCGCAGTGGCTAAAAAATGGCTCGTGAGCTGAACATATCGCAATATTCCATTCGGCAAATATTGAAAAATGAGCTCGAAGTAAAGCCATTGATATTCCAAAAAGTGAAAGGACAACAGAAAGAAAATAGACTCAAAAGAACTAAAAAGTTGCTTCGCTTGGCCGAAAGTGGTGAACTGCCGAATTTGGTTTTCTCCGATGAGAAAACACTCGTTGTTCAGTTGTTTGTAAACAAACAAAATGATCGTATTTACTTGCCAAAGAGGTCAGGTCAGCTGAAAATATGCTCCTTCGGTTGGCCACCAGAACTCAAGCGCCGGCCATGGTGATGGTGTGGACCGCCATAACAGCCGATGGTTGCTCCCCTTTCGTATTTATCGACCGTGGCATCAGAATAAATGCCGAATATTATCGCGAAAATATTTTGGATGGTGTTTTAAAGCCTTGGGCACTCAAACATTTTGGCCGCAGACCTTGGACATTCCAACAGGACTCAGCACCATAGCACTCAGCATCCGCCACCTAAGAATGGTTACAAAATGAAGTTCCTCGCTTAATATCCAGGGCACAATGGCCACCAAAATCTCCGGATACCAATCCGTTGGATTATTGTGTCTGGAGTATTTTGGAAAGCAAGGTTGGCACTAAAAAATACCAAAGTGTCGATCACCTCAAGCAGAGCAACATTCGGGCGGCGTGTGACGGTTTCATTGGCCGATCGAAGGCCATTATTCGTGCCAAAGGTGACCAATTCGAGCAAATCTAAATTTAAACTTCTAAAATTGATGCTATTTCTGACATTTTTCCTTCCATTCAATAAAATTAAAAAAAAGTCTTAAAGTCGGGCACGGCCGACTTTATGATACCCTAAACCACTTTGCTAATTTAGTAGAGCTCCACATAACAATTAAAAGTGTTTATGGGAGAATTCAATCATACACGCTATGATTATAATTATAATTTTAAGTTCAAAAGACTAAATACGCCGAAGCATTTATATCTTTTAAATTCGGACTTGTATTGCCCATTTGATATACATGGGAGCAATATCCAAATCTAAATCGATCTTGATAAAATTTAGCAAAAATATTGCTGAGCTGTATTTGATATATTTCCCTAAATATCGTTGTTACGGAGTGCATATTACGGCTGTGGATAACAAATGTAACAAATCGGATGAACAATATATTTGGGAGCTATAGCTATATCTGAAGCGATCTCCACCAAATTTCACATACTAACTTCTAGACTCAATTCGGTCGTAAGTGCCAAATTTCATTCCATTTGGACAAATATTAGAGATTTGGTGCACAATAAAAGACGAAGTTATATATGGGAGATATATTCAAATCCGAACCGATCTCGATAAAAAAAAAATTAGCAAAGCTATTTCTGAGCTGTATTTGATATATTTCCCCAAATATTGTTGTTACAGAGTGCATAATACGGCTTCGGAGGACAAAAATAACAAATAGGATGAACAATATATATGGGAGCTATAGCTATATCTGAACCGATTTCGATCAAATTTGGCATACTTATTTTCAGGTCTAATTTGGTTGTATGTGCAAAATTCCATACTACTCGGGTTGATATTACACGTTTGGTACACAATAAAAGGCAAATCGGACGAAGATATATATGGGAGCTATATCTAAATTTTTACCGATTGTCTCCAATTTCAATAGGGTTCGTCCTTGAGCCAAACAAATGATTTGTGCAAAATTTCATCTGGATAGGGTAATAAATGCGAAGTGTACTTTGTTCACAAAAATACATGGACAGACGGACGGACGGACATGCATAAATCGACTCAGAATGCGATTCTATGTAGATCATCAAGAGGAACTATGGGTCTATCTCGTTTCCTTTTGCCTGTTACAAACAAATGCACAAAGACATAATATCCTGACCACCTTGTGGTATAGGGTATAAATATGTAAAAATGATGGCGTTTAACTTTGTTGCAGTTTTTTATCTCACCCTGTAATGTAGCTGAAATCTTCAAAATACCGAATATCGGGAGATACCCTTATGTAGAGGCTATACGTTACGAACTTAAATTACCAAATTTGAAACATTTCCGGTGAATAATGTCGCTAAAATCATCAAAATACCGAATATAGGGAGGTACCGTTATATGAGGGCTATACGAAGCCGTGGACCTGCACAGACAATCACCGAAATACCGAAAATAGGGAGGTATCATTATATGGGGGCTAAAATGTATAATTCGAGGTGTTGCAACGAATCTAAAATATTAAGGTGTACTTTTCGCTGACGAAGCAGAGGGCTCTTGCTAGATTCATATAAAGTTCGATTGTATCTTTGAAATGTGAATTATAGCAGAAATTTATGACAAATAATATTTGTAGAATTTTTTGAATTTTTGCGACCCAGATTAACATTCTTTTTGAAAAACGATCCAAAGAAACCATTTCGTGACACGCTTGAGACTCAAAAAATTTCGACCAAAATAATCCGTCTCTTGCTCAGTCAGCATTTTTTGAAATTTTTAATCATATTCAGGTCTTTTTTGATCCGGTTGCACGATTAAAAAGCTGGAATATGAGCGCATTTTCTGATCATAAAAGACTCAGTTGTCGGGAGAAAAACGTGACCTCCCGCGACTCTTCTAAATAAATCACATATGAGTCTTCCTCTAGATTAGTTAAGAGTCTTTTTCGACCATTTTCTGATCGTTCTACGAGTCTTTTTCGAATCGTTTTCTAATCATTTATTGCGCTAAAACGCTTAATTTGTGAATCTTTTTCGAGTCTTTTTTAAGTCATTTTTTGATCATTTATGAGTCTTAAGTGAGTAATTTATTAATCGTTTAAGTGTCATATATCACTCATATGTATAGTCATTTAGGAGTCTTTTATGAGTCCCCTTTGTCTTAAATTCGAGTCATTTATGAGTCGTATATGAGTGTTTACGATTTTACGAATCACGCACGTGATTTGTAAATATTCGGATGTACCGTAAAAAAAGAATTTAATTATATATGTTCATATAAAAATTTATTTAAAATAAAAATAATTCAACTTTTATGTCTATAATTTGTACTATAATATCAATAAATGCGATTGTAAATATGAAAAATATAGTAAAACATAATATAAGAAAATGAAATAAAAAAATTAAAAATCAAATAATAAAAAATCAGGAACTGCAATCGGGCCGTTTTCTATTTGTAACGCGGTCTCTAGTGTGAACAAAATGTTTTTGTAGGATTGTGTTCATATCCTTGTCGTTGCTGGAGTATTTGAGATGACACATATCTGAAATAAAATATGTACAAGTCTGTCCATTTTACTAATTCTTTATATACGTGTTAAAAAGACAAACTTACTTTTGATTGCTGTACCTTTATTTACTTTTCTGCACTCAGATTTACCCTGTCCCCTTCCAGCTGTATTGGCAGGCTAATTTATCTGAAAAAAACCCTTTTTTATAGTTTATAAAGTAGTGAATTAACCAATTCACGTTTCTGGACATTTCTTCATTTTTCTCATATTCAGTTTTATTTCTTTTTTGTAAAATTAAATTTTCTACCTCTTTTTGGCCATCGTTATTATTTTAGCCTTTTCTATTTTTGTAATTTAACTTGCTGACATTTTCTTTATAAAAATTAATAAATAAACAAAGAGACAGACGTACACTTTTTCATATTTTTTCACTTTTCAATATTATACACTTTTGCTGTTGACGCCTCCATGCACTTTTAATAAATGAACAGTAATTCAACTTTTTGATAGTCAGTCCAGAAACAAAATGACCCTTGCATAA